TATTTTCTTATTAACTGCTTTTTCTCTCCTCTCTCCATCTTATCTATGACACTGAAGAAAATTCAGGTGTGACATTCAAGGTGTATCCCCATTAAAAACTGACAATCAAAGCTTTAAAAATCACATGCTATTTCTTTTCTGAAGGGTGCGGGGTGGATCTTAGGAATCAGATGTAACTAGTCTTTGAACAATGTTTATTGCAATGTAATACAAATACTCAGAGTATTATTGCAATATTTCTCAGAGGCAAAATATGATTAAAATCTGGGAATAGTGACCAAAGAATCTACTTCCAGAAAACTTCTTTTTTATCTTTCTATTCTTATTTTTCATAATTTTGCTGGCCTTCACTCATCTAGTGCTAGAGACTCAGGATGTTCTAAACTCAGTTTATGGACATAAATCACCTGCTAAAAGCAATAAATAAAAACTCTATTTGAACATGGAGGGGGCCAGGCATATGCAGGTGTATTTTTTTATATAAACTCAAAACAAAAGTCCTCCTAGAGCCACTTGGTATATTCATTATATTTGAAATTTCCTTCCAGAACATCTACTTCAATTCCTAGATCATTGTTTCTCAAACGTGGCAATCTTAAACTATGTGGACTTCTGAGTATTTGTCATACAAGCTATGATGTTTGGGAGCTGAAACCTAGAAAATGATAAAGACCAGGGCATTGTTTCTCCACAACTAAACTATATAATTATTACATTTCTGTAAATAAGCCAAACTGGGAAAAGCCACCCCACAAACAAAGAGAAATTTGATAAAGTTGTTTATCTATTTTATTAGTTATTAATTATTTTTCTGCAGAATCCTCAGGATTCCTTTAGAAACATGTCAGAGTACTTCAAAGAGAAGAACACTAATTGGCAGACAAACTTCCATATAAAGAGTTCCATGCTCTCTGGTAGTGTTCTTTTTTTTTCAGCAACAGATAGGAAAATAATTGGTTATAATTGCAGGATGTAGAAGGATGAAGCAGAGAGATTTTGAAAATGTTGGTTGCTGAAACCTTTTTCATTCAGCTGTGGGTATCTTCCATAGCCAACATCCATCTCTTCCTACTGTGATTTTTTTTATGCCAGCTGAGCAGTTCCTGAAGCTTTCCCATCTCATCAAGTACACAAAACAGAAGGTTTTACTTGCACATAAAATTAAATAATACTTGCAATATTTTGCTAATATCTTAATACTGAGGCCATCTCTTTTAAAAACTAGGGCAATCTTTTCTTGAAATTTCTAAATAATAAGACCTCAAGACTTCTCTTCTGCAAAAGAAATATATCATTTTAAATATGATATACCTTATTCCATCAGAAGAAGCCACTTACTGAAAATTTGATTCAATTCTATAGAGAAAACATTATCAGCAGCTACCTTTTTGGTTTTTTAAAAAATCAATCCATAAACATACCAAACACAAAAATACCTTTTATCTATTAGTCTGAAAATTTACAGGCTTCATCCGGTCATAAAGGGCTAGCATTCCCACTAACCTTATCAAATTTGAAGAAGTTATCCATTTGTTGATTTCAAATCTATCAAACACAGATATTTTGATTTCTTCACTGAAGTTTGGATTTAGGTCCTAAATCAACTTTGATAGTCTTCTAATCAGTTCAGGGTAAATTGTTTCCCAAATTGAGATCTGAATTGAATCTTGTGGTTGATGGACACTTCCAATCACTAGAATTTGTACAGTAGGCTATTGTAAGATTGGCCAAAATGGGATTTACATGGCATAAGATAAATCAAGAAGACAATTACAATTTATATTGTGTACACAGAAGTAAAGCAGTCACCCAAATCCTTTCACTTCTATGTCTATTGGAGGAACTGAGTCCTGATGTGCATAAGAAACAGAAATTCAACAGATACCTTTTTGTTCCATTACTAGACTTTCATATCAGATAAGGTGGCACCTGTCAGATTTCTGCTTCTCATGCAACTGTTCAGGGCAGAGACATTCTTCACTGAACTAGTGACAATTCTAAGCAATCTAAGAAATCAGGAAACCTGCCAGGAGAGTAAACACTTGCCCAACAATATAGTGCTACATACACTAATATGCCCAGAGAAGCCATTTATTACTTCTATAAGAGTCTACGCTGGTCTGGAATCTCTAAAAGACCTGCTCTAACATTAGACAGAGTGAGCCAGTTGCTTCAGGAAAAGGATATTGAAATGTTTAAGGACTAAATCAAATATATTAGATGATTTATTCTGCACCATCCAAATTAATGGGGAGCATGTTTTCCTATCTTCAATTATGCAGCTAAATTCAACTGTCACAGGAGTCAATCTTTATACATGATATGGGAAAACATCCTTGCCTTTCACCTCAAGTCAAATATTTGGAGCCATTGTTGCATTTAAGACAGTAACCCCAGAACAACAACAAGAAGAAACAGGCTACCATAGTTAATATTATAAAGGTAGGGATGCTGACTCATGTAAAATAAAACACTGAGAAAGCTTTGTGGCATTTTCTTCAGATTAGAAGATATTGTAAAGCACTTTAACCAGAGCTCTTTTTAACCAAAGAATGATCTGGTCAGAGAACTCATAAACCATCAAAACTGAGATGAAGGAGATTTACTTGAAAGTATACAAATTCATTGGAGTTGGGTGGCTATATTTATAACTAATTTGAATAAATCAACAAATGAAAAAGCAAAAGCACACACCATTAGAAAAAAAGGATGAGAATGTCAAGCCATGGGCCTAAGGGGAAACCCAAACAACTGAAGACTCTCCCCCCAACTGCCTTTCAAAATTTTATTAATCAAAATTAGAAGCTGCCCATCTCACTCACTGCGTGACTCTGGATAGTGTACAATTAAAAACATAAAAACCATATAAATATAATAACCCACTAGCAGGCAGTTAAAACAAGAACAAAATAATAACTAAAAATTTAAAAAGCTTGAGCAGCAAGCATTGCCTACTGGCAGGAGACATGTGCAGTGATTTTAAAGGGAAGATCCTCCCCCGCACTAAATATTACACCTTCGGGCTCTACCTTCAGAAAATTATCTTTCAAAATATGAACATATCTGGGAATAATAACATTTATAGTTTTCAGTCTTAGATTTCTTCCCATAGATATATGAGAATTAATGAGTTTGCAGCGAAGTTTTTAAAGATAGCCATACAAGAGAGTGTATATGTGTGTTTTGTTCCATATTCAAGTTTATGCTAACTGCTTAGTTATTGATTAAAGATTGGATTTCTTTTTAAGACATGGTATCAGAGCAGTTAAAACTGCTTTTCAACAAATATTTATGGGGGAGCAGGAGATTGAAGTCATGTCAACAGTCTTCTGGTACCTTAAAGACTAACAAATACATTGTGTTGCTTGCTTTTCTTCATGTTAGATGCAGGATTTATTTGTCTCTCGTGCCATAAGATTTTTACACCTTTGGATTGAAACAAACCTTTCTCTGGAAATTGAAACTCAAGTTTGTGATTGTGAGGTTAGCACTATAGCTGTGGAGATTTCTGTTCAATTAATTAATGAAGACTACACAGGTGAGATCTTTGCAAGCGGTAGTATCCTAGTATCCATGTAAACACATGTCAAGCAGTGCTGAAGGATTGCCAAGGAGAGGAGGAACGTTAAAAAAGAAAGAGAAAGATGTTAGTTGGATGCAACATGAAAAGCTGTTCTGCAGAGGATGGACTTAATTATGAAATTCAATTAGAAAGCATGAAGAACTCATTGTTAGTCTCCCTCTGGCACTGGCAATATTAACTTGTATTATTACAAAGGGATGATTTGGTGAGAACAAAGAGATTTTTGAGATGCTGGACAGGGTGATTGAAGAAGCAGTTAATTTACTTCTTTGAAAAGCTATTTCCCACCATTCTGGACTTATTTTAAAGAAAAGCAACATAGATATGTATATGTGTGTTTGCATATGCGTTAAAACTGAAATGCAACACATTTTGAGAATCAGAAAAGGAGAAATTTAAATGAGCAAATTAAAGAGATTTCAATCTCAATGCATTTAACTAGCACTGAAGCCCTATGTTCCTTTATTCCAAGGGTGTTAGGGAGTAAGCTCCATTGAATTCAATAAGGCTTGCTACAAAATATGCATGAATCAACTGATGCAGTAAGAATAATGTAAGGTTGCTTATTGAGAGGTGTGGGTAAGAGCTAGGGAGGGGGGCATTAGAATGGGGGGAGAGTGTTGGTTACCACTGATCATTTTTTCCTCACCCTAATGTGCAGAATAAAGAGCAGGAATATAAATGATAGGAGACATTACTTTATTGGATTTTAATGTTCTTTTGATGCATTAAGATGGAAATGCTAAATTTGTGTCTCTGTGTGGGGTGCTGAGGTATAAAAAGTGGTTGAGGAGTTTTGCACCTAAATTTCTATTAAGAAAGTTACAAGCTTCCATCCTTTGGCATAAGCGAAGTATTTTGTGGTTTGGTTATTGAATTGAGCTTCCTATCATTTCCAGAGGGAGGGGGAAAATGCATGGCATATCAGCCACTGATACTCCCCATCACAACCTCTTGGACAACTAAGCTATGACAGAAAGAGGGATTCTCCCGCAGATTTGCAATTACCCAGCCAGGTGCGTCTCCAGCTTTTTTACAAATTATCTCCCGCAAAATTCAATACGGTATATACTTGCACAGAAATAGCCTCTCTCCGTTCGGCGGGGTTTAGTACCGACCGAGAGAGTATCGCAGTCCCACTTTCGCGGGGCAAGGCATTATCTTCGCCAATTGCACACACGCAGACTAAAGTTACTGTGCACTTTGGGGAGGCAGCATCCCAGTATCCCCAAATGGTTTCGGGAAGACCTCCTTACCTCCAGTACATAGGAATGCTTGCCAGGTCTTCTAAAAACACCTCTGGGCGGAAGGTCCCCTCTCCCTCCTTTCCCAGTCTCGGGGGACCGACAACTGCGCCTAAGAAGCCAAGGCTCCCCCAACGGCCGGCCAGGAGAGCCAAGCGGAGGCGCCCGCCTACCTGCCCGTTCTTGCATAGGTCTGCCCACATGCTGGTCCCGTCGCCGCCGCGCATCAGGACGTGGTAGGTGAAGAAATAGGTGCCCGGGATGTTGCAGGTGAACTTGCCCGTGGCAGCATCATAGTTGTTTCCCAAGTTGGTTACGACGTCGTCGAACTTGAGTATCTCGTAGCCCTCGTGCGGGTTCTTGAGGCCGGCGTAAAAGGCCACGCGGGGCACCATGGTGTAGGTGGCTGCGCTGATGGCCCCTGTGCTCAGCCCCGAACCGGGCAGACCAGGCGGACCGGTTTTCCCAGGATCTCCTCTCTCGCCCGGGGGACCCCGGGGCCCCGGGGGACCCGGCTCGCCCGGGGGACCCGGCGGGCCAGGCTTGCCCGGCCGTCCCGGCTTGCCCTGGGGCCCCTGGACGAGGGTGGATGGCGGGGGCAGTCCGCTGTGATCGCTACTGAGGTTTTCGGCGCCCTCGCTCCGGATGCTGCTGGCACTGGTTGTGGTGGTGGTCTTGCCCAGGTAGGGGTCGCAGACCATGCGGCAGGTGCCCAGCATCTCGTAGTGTCCGTCGATGCCCACGGAACTCACCAGCACCGGAATGAGGATCACCAGGATTAAGATCATCACCACGCCGATGGCCCCGGCGACCAAAGTTTTCCGGCCAATGCTCAGCCGCTGAAGGGGCTGGGCGCGTTGCCTCCCCGTGGTGGAAATGGTGACGGATGGCCCGGGCAAGCTGGCAGGAGAAGAAAAGCGGCGGGTGGGGAGGGCAGAAAAGGGTAAACTTCAGGAAAGATCTCCCGGTTGGGGAAGAGGAGGTGGAGGGGTGTTCTTGTGCCGCGTGTCCGTTAAAAAAAAAAACACGACGCCGTCCCCTCGTTGGCTGGAGTATCGCCTTTAAGAATGCTGCTCTTTGACGGCCTTTTTATAGCAGCTGCAAGTATGATCCCAGGTTTGATATGGAAATGTGGGTTGGGTGAGGGTGAGAATAAAAGAAAGATTAAAGAAAAGAGGAAAGACAAACCGAGTGAACCAAGAGCAAGGCAGAGAAGTGAGAGGAGAGAGAGCCAGCGCGTACTAGATACATCTTAGTAAGATGCTTTCATTGATTTGTTTTCCCCTTTCCTTTTCCCCTCCTCACTCCATTTTCTTCCACCCCCTACGGAAGAGGGAGGAGAACAATCTAGGATTGCAAGGCAGAAGTAACCTGGTGCTTGGGGCAAACAAGAAGAATTTGAATGGAGCCACGGAAGTCCGCTCCCCCCTTTATCCAGATAGCTAACCAGCCCTCACCCAAAAGGACTAAAATATTGTTTTAAATGTTATTACTAAGTTTGGTCTTGAAAGGATCTTGTTAACAACTTCAGGGAATTCATTTTGTCCTTGTTCCCATTTGCACTTGTCCTAATAATACCAGTTTCCTCCTCTACTCATGAAGTTGCCCTGAGCCCATGAGGGAGACCCTTTAACTTAACTTAAGTATACCAACAAGTCAATGTTTTCCCTATTTCTTTTCCCGATATTGCCCTACAAGACGTGTATACAGTAAAATCTATATTTTACCAGCTTTTATTTTGGAGGTAAACTTAGGAGGCCAGTAGCAGGTGGAACCAAAAGTCTGTCTTGGAAGCCACGGGTTGCCCTTCCACTCTGGTCACCACACAGCCTCCACCCCAGTCATTTCTTTCCCTCCCCTTTATCCTCCCTGTTAGCAGTAAGTTACCTGAATTCCTTTCAAATCTCTCACATTTATGTTTTTTTATGCTAGATTTTCTTCAGGCTTCCAACAAAAGGTAGGAGGGCAGAATTGCACTACTTCATGTGGGCAAGAAAAGGGGATGGCTTATTTGCTACTTGGCTTGGATCCTTCTCTAACAATCTCACTCCTGCTTTCCCTAAAGTAAAAGAGGTAGCTGCTGGCAGCTAATGTGTCTCAGACTGTCTATAGCAGGGCTTTTCAAACGGTGGTATCTGTACCACCGGTGGTACTTTAGCACCTGGCAGGTGGTATGCAACCCCTAGCCAAGTGTAGCAGGGTGGGAACCAGCTAAAGCGGCACCATACAGACCTGGAGTAGACCAGCTGGAGCTGCAGGGCTCAGCAGAAGCTCCAGGATCTGCGGGCATGGCTGCATGCTGATTGGAGCTTCTGGCACACCTGGAAGAGAAAAGGAGGAAGAGGAGGCGTAGAGAGGAGAAGTTATAAAAGGAGCAGGTTTTGGCGGGAGAGAAAAAAACACACGGAAAAGAGAGAAGAGAAGGGAAGAGGCTTTTGTTAGCGAAGCGGTCAGGAGAGCGAGCGAGGGGCCTTCACAAGTGAAAAGTGAGTAAAAGAGCGAGCAAGGGGCTTGTGTGACAAAGAAGCTTTTATGAGCAACATTTGAGTGAAGGAGAGCAAGCGAAAGGTTTTTGCTAGCAAAGGGTGAGAGAAAAAGGGAAAAGTGAGGGGGAGAAGGGAAAAAGAAAAGAAAAGACATTGATTTCTGAGTTCCACTGTTGCAGTAGGAAGGAAGCATTAACATTGAACCTCAACTTTTTACTTTTCCATAATATTATAAACTAGCCATTTCTATAACAACAAATGAATTTAACCAATAATGTCCAAAATCCTCCCCCCCTTTTTTTGGTCATCAAATTTTTGACACCTTGCTAAGCACTGGTGGTACTCAAATATTGTTATGTCCTAAAAGTGGTACAATCTGTGAAAAGGTTGAAAAGCCCTGGTCAATAGGACCCTGAAAGCTAGAAGCACAATCATAGTGGAATCTGCCTCCTTCCTAGTTCCACCGTGGCATCTATTTTTCCTTCTTTTCTTTCTTCCTATTTTGTTTTATATTTAGGAATCTCAAATAAGAAAAATAATTATTGGTGTGTAGAAATGCACTATAATAAAACCTGCATACATAGCCTATATTTTTATGTGTTTGGCTACAGACACACATATTAAACATACCCACAGCACAAAGATCAGAAACCTGTATGATTATATTAAGCTCAAACATTTGGAATATGAATGACATAAATAGCAAGAAAAAAGGAATGCATGCATGAATGAATGTCTACAACCAGTCTACAAGAAGCAAAGTTAAAAAGAAATCCTCTTTGAAGTGAGGGAAAAGTATATTTACATGTAAGGAAGTTAGAGGAACACCAGTTGGAAAGGGCATTGTGTGTTGTCTAAACCAATCTCAAAAAAGAAATTTAGAAAAAATGGAAATGAACAATATTTGGCTGTTTTCAGAATAATGGCAAAGTAGAGATGCAAAACTGTGGAGAAATCTAAACATATAAAAGCTAGATTCCCTTGGATAAGGCAATAATTAAGGTAATATGATGGGATGATCACATAACATTCACAAGGAGATAAAGGTTTGTGAGACAGCATATTCCGAAAGGTTATTTAATCTGAATTTTATTTCAGAATCAAAAAGTGTAACAGAGGAAGACAGTGACTAGTTGTCCTTTGACACTTAGTCTCTGGATATTTTATTGAACATGCATATTGGTTAGACTTGTCTTCTATAGTAATACATCTTGGAGCTGTGGTGGCGCATTGGTTAGAATGTAGTATTGCGGGCTAACTCTGCTCATAATCTGGAGTTTGATCCTGACCAGCTCAAGGTTGACTCAGCCTTCCATCCTACTGAGATCGGTAAAATGAGGACCCAGATAGTTGGGGGCAATATGCTGTCTCTGTAAATCAGTTAGGTCTGTGAAGCACTGTGAAGCAATATATAAGTCTAAGTGCTATTGCTATTATCTTTCTATGAAATTATAATGAATTTATTCATAAATTTGCATCCTTAAGTTTGCATATGCAAATTATATGCAAACTAGAATCCTGTTTTTTTTCTTTCTAATCATGTAAAAAGGGTCACTCTAAAGAAAGCAATTTTTAAGGATCTCTGCATCAAATTTTATAATTCAGAATTACAGATACACAAAATGGTTCATACATCAAAGAGCTACTTGGTTTCTATCTGAACCTAAACATGTCTGTTTGGTGTGAATATAGCAAGTCCTTGACTTATGACCACAGTTAGGCAAGACAGTTGTGAAGTGAATTTTACTCCATTTTATGACTTTTCTTGCCACAGTTGTTAAGCGAATCATTACAGTTATTAAATTAGTAACATGGTTGCTAAGTGAATCTGGCTTCCCCATTAACTTTGCTTGGCAGAAGGTCACAAAAGGGGATCACATGACCCTGGGGGACTGCAATAATTATAAATACATGCCTGTTGCCAAGCATCTGAATTTTGATCACGTAGCCAAGGGGATGCTGCAATGGTTATAAGTGTGAAAACAGTGATAAGTCACTTTTTTCAGTACTGTTTTAACTTCAAATGGTCATTAAATGAATGGATGTAAATTGAGGACTACCTGTATGGTACACATTAGTAGATTGTATTGTGGTAGCTACAAACTAACCTATAGTTCTGAGCATTAATTTTGGTGGTGGAGAGTGAGAAAAGTCCAAGAATATAGACAAAAACTTCAAATGGTAACACCAATTCTGACTTCTTTTTCTGCTGAGCTGTGTCCATCTAGATTCTAGAATGATTCAGCAGAACTTCTGCAACAGAATATATTTGTTCTGAGATTTAAACAAAATATTTTCTGTTTTGTGCATATCCATGTTCAGTTTCTAACAGCAATTTCTGGAATGCTGTGAGATTGAGAATTCAATATAAACATAAATTAATATCAATATGCAAATCATGTAATGTTAAGGTATGTGTCTAGAACTGGAAACAATAACTTTGCAGACATTCCCTGAAATTCACTGTAATTTTTCCCTTAGTTGTTTCTATTGCTTTCTAAAGACACAAGGTTATTTTATTTACACTTACATATGAGTAAATCCTGTTGGACTCAATGAGCTTTAATTCTGAGTATGCATATATAAGATTATAGCATGCAGCCTATCCTTTCCTCTATTTATTTTTGTGCCTTTGCATCTAAATTAAGCTTCCCCACATGCAATATTACTTTTCCACTGCAAACTAGGGTTGTGATTTTCTAAGGGATCCTTATTAGTAAGGAAATATCTTTATTCCAACCAATCCTGATCCGACTCTCAAGAGTTTCCTTTCCTAAGCATTGGCTCTGTCTGCCTCAGATGAATTTTCTGTGCTTCGATGGACTGGAAAATAACACCTTCAAACTTCTCTTCAGAGAAGCAAAGGTGCTTTAATTACCAGCCATCTTACTGCTATGGCTGCTGCTTGCCATGACTTTTCAAGAGATGAGGATAATATGAGATTTTCCTGTTTCAGTCTTTTTCCCTGCTTTCCCCAATCATTAAAAGTTAAAAAGTGCATTTGCTAGACCTCACAGCTATAAGAATACAACCAAGTGGATTCTTGGTATTGCAGCAAAAATCAGGGCAATGGGGTTTATAGGCTGTGCACTCTAGGATGGGGAAAAGCTCTCTCTGTAAATGCTGAATTACCAATCCTAATTTTGCACCTTTCCAAAGGAAATCTGTTTTAAAGGTTAAAATCAGCATTTTGTCTTTGGGATTAATTAGCCAACAAAGGCAATTATCTAACTTCCATTTTCTGAATCAGCTGAAATAGCTATGTTGTCTCCAAAGGCAGCTTCAAATACTACCTATGACCGTGGTCTGTTGTCGACTATAACATTATTTGTGATATGGATAATAGTGGTGAGGTTGTCTCAGCACTGAAGGGAGCATACACAAATATGTAAACTCTGCCTTTGGAAAGTGCTTTCAGAAAACAAACATGATTCTTCCTGCTGTCCATCCAGTCTCAAATAATTATTGTCTCATTCAGAGGCAAGTCTTAGATAAATCTTATAAATGTAATCAGTGATCAGCAGTCCTTCCAAAGATGTTTACTTTAGCTCAAATATTAACAGCAATTAATTAGAAAATTCTGCATCCAAACAGACTACTTGGACCACCCTGTTTCATTGACCCTTCCCCAACCTGACAGCCTCAAGAGAAGGAAATTGTATAATATTTCAGATAAATGGTTGTCCAATCTTTTCTTTAAAATGTTCAGTGTTATGAGTGCTCCAATACTGAAGGTTTTAAAGCAGAGATTGGACAACCATTTGTCTGAAATGGTATAGGGTTTCCTGCTTGAGCAGGAGGTTAGACTAGAAGACCTCTAAAGTCCCTTCCAACTCTGTTATTCTGTTCTGTTATTCTGTTAAGATATGTTAGAACTTCAACTCCCAGAATTCCTAGCCATGGCACCAATTTGGGAAGGCTGGTGTAGGTTAAAATGTCTGTGGGTAAATCTGGGCTGGAAGACA